GATAGATTAACCATGTCTGCTGGGGGCAGAGAAACACAGCTCGAGTGGCACCTATTTGCCATTCTGAGCCTAAGGGGAAACTGGACCCCTGCTAATTATCAGAGGTCTAGAGTGGTCCAGGGACTCTGGGGCAATTTTATGTGCCACACAATTTGGAATCTTATCATATACCATGTCAGATAGTTTCCTGTGTTTTGATTGACTATAGGTAGAAACCAGACAGGCAGCCAGTAACTGAAAGACAGCTTTCCCAAGTGAAAGCAAAGGAGTTCCTTAAAAGTAGACAACCTTTTAGCAGAGGATGGCAGTCACCCTCGGAGCCCAGAACAGCAGAATATAACAGAAAACAGGAACAGAGGTGTTAGGAAATAGACACTGAGCATTTGAGCACCTTGGAATGAAGGCAATGACGAGACTGAAGGCTAAGAACCCATGTCTTGGGCTTCTCTACCCCCACAGACCCTAGCAATGTGCCAAACACACAGCCGTTCCTGAGTACCTATGGTTTAGATGTTTGAAATCGAGTAAACCAAGCCTTGGAAACCAACTCTTGGAGGGAAGAGACTACAGCTCCAAAATTTCTAGAAATTTTCTCCCATGCATATCTGTAGACACTCTAAGTGAAAACAGCAGCCTGGTTTCCTTTGTATGTCTAAGGATGTGGTGAGTGAATCTCTGCTTTCATCTGTTATTATTATAGACTTTGGTGTCAGGAGAGATTGGGGTGTGGTGTAGAGATGCAGCCCTTGAAGGTGTTCTACCTGGGCTTCGTTTCATGAGCCTGGCAGACCTGGTAGTAAATAAGAAACCTGTTCCTCGCCATGATGAAGTACCTGTGCAGGGGGTTGGGGTGACTCCCCCTTTGCTTCCTCAGGCCAGGAGAAGTTACTGGAGGCTCACAATGGTCCTAACAAAGAGGACAACGAGGACAATAGCAACAGCTATGTCCACAAGTATCTACTACTGCCTTACAAGGTATAAAGCGTTTTCAATTCATACTGTCCCTTGATCTTCAAAACAACTCAGTGAGGGAGGCAGGGGAATGGAAAGACCCAGGGTGTTTCTGGGTGGGGTGAAAGTAGGGAAGGAGATAGGAAAGGAGGGCATGTCTCACAGGGTACCATGATCCACCCTCTTTCCCTGAATGAACCCAGAGTTGTGCTTCCAGGGAAACCAGGAACTGAGCTGGTGGTTGTAGCCACAATGGGACACAGCATGCTCTTTGAGGGCAGGACAAGTGAGAGATTATATGATGGGTGGACCACCCCACAGAAATGCATCCTCCCTTGGCATTAATCTATTGTGTGTTTGCTTCCTCTAGCTTGGTCATTCTTAGCCTTCAAAATTCAGTTGAAATAGAAATATCATATGATCTACCAATTCCACTCCTGGGTATGCGCCCCAAAGAATTGAAATCGAGCACTCAAGTAGACACTTGTACAGCTGTGTTCATAGTAGCCAAAAGGTAGAAACAACCCAAGTATCTATCAACAGTTGAATGGCTAAAAAAATGTGGTGTGTGAATATATATATATATATATGAATATTATTCAGCCTTTGAGAGGAAGGAAATGTTGATTCATACTACAACATGGATGAATCTTAAGGACATTGTTCTGGGTGAAACAAGCCAGACACAGAAAGATAAATACTGTGTGATTCCATTTATGTGAAGTGTCTAGGGTAGGCAAATTCACAAAGACAGAAAGTAGAATCAAGGTTTCCAGGAGCTGGGGTGATCGGGAAACAGGGAGTATTTGCTGCATGGGCACAGGGTTTCTGTCTGGGATGATGAGTGGTTTCTGGGGATGGATGGTGGTGATGGTTGTATAGCACTGTGTATGTACTCAATGCCTCTGGATGATACACAAAAGAATGGTTAAAATGATAAACTTTGTTATGTTTATTTTACCACAGTAAAATAAATAAATAAGAAATAATTTCAGTTCAGGGAACTCATGGCCTTCTGAAAGTTTTCCTGGCCACAGCCTGATAGTGTCAGCATCCTCTGTGTGCCTGGGAACACACCGTACTCAGGTAGTTAATGTTCTCAACTGTCTCCAAACTAAGCTCTGAGCTCCTGGAGATTATGGTCTGTGTCCTCTTCTACTTCCCTTCTCTGGCTCTGACCAAGTGCCTAGCACCTTGTGACAATGTGATAATTCTATTTTAAAGCAATAAATCTGACATACGTGGCATGCTTAAAATGCATAGTATAGGTTTATTTAAGTAATAAAATAGATATTAACTATGATCCCAGTGATGGTTGGTTGGATGAACTTGGCTCAGGTTCTTCTTAAATTTATCTGATTCTTCTTTCCATTGTCATTTTGAATGGGCCACATAGCAAGTGAATTGACTGAAAAATGGTGAACCTGATATAGAATAAATGATATACAGTTTACTAACAGTTCTTAACACAGGCTGATACCCCTACTGGCGAGATTCTTCTCCCACTACGCTTTTTTAACTTGGTCAACTCAGATGCTTCCTTCAGGCTCAAACATCTCCATACTTGGGGAGCCACCCTTGATCCCTTGCATGAGGTAACACCTTCCCTCTCTGCCTTGGACTGAAATGAGCCCGTGATGCGACCTTGTCTCCTCTTTCCTCACACTTGTCTCACGGTGTTATATTACTTCTGTACTCTTTCTGTCTTCCCCATTCGACAGTCAGCTGCATAAGAGTAGGAGTGCTACACTCCCAGCATCCAGGAAAACTCCTAGCACATGGGAAATTCTCAATAAACACAGATTGCAAGAATGGCTCAAGAAATGAGGAGTGAATGAATGCAGTGATGTGGACATGAAACTGTATAAAGTGTGTGGCCAATCCCTCTTTACCAGTTGAAAGGGCACTCAAAGATCACTGAATCCAACCCTTTCAACAAACAGATGAGGGAGGTGAGGTCCAGAAAGAGAAAGTGAATTTACCTAAGGTGGATAACGGAGCAATAGACAAATAGGAACTGGAATCCAGGTACCTCATGATTCTGTGCTATTTCCATGATAACACTTCTCCCTGCTCCTCTCAAGGTCAAGATTTCCGTCGTCCAAAATGATATGTGATGTCATACCTTTGAGATTAAGCCATAAGCTCACATCATGCATGGTCTTTTGAAAATACCATTCATTTTAACAGAGGCATTCTGAAGAACAATGCATTAAACTAAAATGTCCCTTGTCTAGTGGAGTTTAAAGCATCAGACTGGGCTGGTGGGGAATAGAATTGGGAACATTTTACAGTCTCAATTGGTGCTCCTAAATCTTTATAATGAGGCCAGACTGTCCTCTTATGAAAATCTGAATCAAGTGAGATTGTCATAAAGTCAGCTGAGACCTACTTGCCTGAAGTTATGTTATATGGTCAAGGGTGGGAGCGAGTGGGAAGAAAATGGTGAGGAGGGTAAAGGATTAGACAGAAGATCCACCTGAGAGCTAGAAAAGGAAAAAAGAGTAATAATGTGCCCATCCATTTCTAATTCTATCAAGGGGAGAGAGTAGACAAACTTCAGTCCTGAATCACAACCACCTTGGGTTTGAGGAAACTGAGTATGCTTCATTCATACAAGTGGACAAACGTTGCCTTCTCTGCTCACTACAGGTGTTACGCCCAACCTCAAGGCATGAATCATGTCTGGTCTAAGCCAATCATGGCAGTCTCACTGGCTGAGCACTGAGCATGTGACCCCATTCTAGCCAATAAACATAAGGAGAAGCCCATCTGGCATCACTGGGGAGAGGATTTTCTCCTTGGAAAAGGAAAAAGCCAGTTTTTTCTCTCACTAAGCTCCTTTTTCCTTAGAACTCTGACGTGCAAGGACATCATGTGTTCAGCTGTGGCAGCCATCTTAGATCTTCGAGGGAAGATATTTCCAGCACAAAGGAGCACAAAATAGCAGGACTGTGAGTTCTGAATGACATCATTAAGCCACTGAACTGACCCTGAGATCTTCTGTTTCTCATTAAGTGAAATGCTAAATACCCATATGTATTAAGCCATTGTTAGGGTTATAGTTTAAGCCAAGGGTCAACAAACATTTTCTGTAAAGGATCAGATAGTAAATATTTCCAGCATTGCAGGCTATATGATCTCTGTTGCAAGTACCCAACTCTGCCATGGTAGCACCAAAAATAGCCACAGACAATACATAATCATGTAGCATATGTAAGTGAATAGGCTGTGTTCCAACAGAACATTATTTACACAAACAGGCAACAGGCTGGATTTGGTCCATGAGACATAGTTTGTGAACTTCTGGTTTAAGTCATTGATACATTAATCTCACAAATATTTATTAAGAACTTCCTACATGCCAGCCACAGTTCTAGGTGCTAGGTGTGGCTCAGTTATAACTAAGATCAAAACGGATCAAGTCTCTGCCCTCTGAAGCTTATACACTGCTCAGGGAGGTCTATAATGAACAAATGAGAAAATAAAGAAGATTACTGCAGATTGTGATAAATGCTGGATGTAAGTAGCATGATGTGATGGATAATTTTGAGGTCGAGCAGAGTGAAGGGGATGGAGCCAGTTTAGATGGATTGGGAGAGAAGGCATGTCTAAGATGAGATTTGAGACCTAAAGAATAAGAAAGGACTTACTACATGAAGAAATGGTAAAATCCTGCAACAAGCAATAGTAATTGAAGAAGCAAAAACTCAAGGACAGGAATACTTTGGGCATATTCAGGAAGCCAAAAGAAGAATGACAAGGGAGACAAGAGTATGTAGGGTCTAGATCATGCAGGGTCTTGAAGGCCTGGGAAGAACCATGGATTTTACACCAAGAGCAATGCAAGGTTCTACAGAGGGAAGTAGCATAGTGATGTTTACATTTTTTTAATGGTCAGTCAATGGGTTGTAGGGAGGCAAGAGTGAAGCAGAGATGCTGGTTGGGAAGCTATTGCAATAACCCAAGAATTTTATAAGATGTATCTCAATTCACCTGAGCAGGTTACAATAGGTTCCCCCCCCAGGATGGTAAAGACAGAGAACATTGTCTTCTCCACACTGCTGTTACTGAGGTCTCCAGCGCCTTCTCCCTCCTGTGCAAAATGGCAACTCTTAAGGAAAAACTCATTGCACCAGTTGCGGAAGAAGAGGCAACAGTCCCAAACAATAAGATCACTGTAGTGGGTGTTGGACAAGTTGGTATGGCGTGTGCTATCAGCATTCTGGGAAAGTCTCTGGCTGATGAACTTGCTCTTGTGGATGTTTTGGAAGATAAGCTTAAAGGAGAAATGATGGATCTGCAGCATGGGAGCTTATTTCTTCAGACGCCTAAAATTGTGGCAGATAAAGATTATTCTGTGACTGCCAATTCTAAGATTGTAGTGGTAACTGCAGGAGTCCGTCAGCAAGAAGGGGAGAGTCGGCTCAATTTGGTGCAGAGAAATGTTAATGTCTTCAAATTCATTATTCCTCAGATCGTCAAACACCGCGTGATTGGAAGTGGATGTAATCTGGATGCTGCTAGATTTCGCTACCTTGTGGCTGAAAAACTTGGCATTCATCCCAGCAGCTGCCATGGATGGATTTTGGGGGAACATGGCGACTCAAGTGTGGCTATGTGGAGTGGCATGAATGTGGCAGGTGTTTCTCTCCAGGAATTGAATCCAGAAATGGGAACGGACAATGATAGTGAAAATTGGAAGGAAGTGCATAAGATGGTGGTTGAAAGTGCCTATGAAGTCATCAAGCTAAAAGGATATACCAACTGGGCTATTGGATTAAGTGTGGCTGATCTTATTGAATCCATGTTGAAAAATCTATCCAGGATTCATCCCGTGTCAACAATGGTAAAGGGGATGTATGGCATCGAGAATGAAGTCTTCCTGAGCCTTCCGTGTATCCTCAATGCCCGAGGATTAACCAGCGTTATCAACCAGAAGCTAAAGGATGATGAAGTTGCTCAGCTCAAGAAAAGTGCGGATACCCTATGGGACATCCAGAAGGACCTAAAAGACCTGTGACTACTGGGCTCTAGGCTATAGAAATTTAAAAACTACAATGTTATTAACTCTGAGCCTTTAGTTTTCATCTGTGTACATGGATCGCAGTTTGCTTTGACCTTCTTCAATATGTGAATTTGGGCTCATAGAATCAAAGCCTATGCTTGGTTTAATGCTTGCAATATGAGCTCTTGAACAAATAAAATTAACTATTGTAGTGTACTTCTGTTAAAAAAAAAAAAAAAAAAAAAAAAAGACAGACTGAGAAAATAAAATCTGAGAACCCAGAAGTTCCAGGAAGAAAGCTACAGAAAGACTGGCTTCTTTATGAGGATATTCATGAAATCACAGTTCAATAAGATCCTGAGACAGGGTGACTTGGCGCCATGAACCAAGAGCTGCGGTGGATACTCTTCTTTGCCAGCTCATACAGGGCCATGTTCACTTGCTTCTCCTGAGTCTAGGAAGCACTGGCACAACTTAGATAAAGGTGGCTGTGTGCCCCCTTCTGCACACCAACTGGGACAAGGTATTGCGGAGGCATGCACTGACCACTCTGCCATCCTGCTTCCCTAGTTACTTAGTCTTATACTGTGGCACTGTGCTCCAAAAAGACGCTAGTGGAGAGGCTCGTCAGACTGTGTATTTATTCCTCACGTTGTTCCACAGCGGATTTGAAGCAGCTCTCAAGAAATATGTGTAATAAAGTAAAAGATATAAATTAAATATATCAAGACTAAGAAAAATACAAATTAGATAAAACATGGAGACTAGGGGGCAGAAGGGAAAGCTAAAATGCGGGTTATAACATCCTACCTGGTTGCCATCACATAAAAGGATGGGAAATACCATCTATTTGTGGATTCCTAATGTCTTATTTATATTCCCTGCAGCATTACACAGCTTCCACACTGACACCAACTCCTGGGGCTTTTTGGCCAGCCACATGGTGACCAAATGCCCAGTGCAGGTGGCCCACTCTCCCTGCCTGCCTCTGTGGTGATCACAAAAACAGTCTTTTCTCCACTCTGGGTGGGAAGGAAAAAGTGCAGCTGGTGTCTGCAATTTTCTACTCAGTTGCTTTGTTCTGGGTTTGGTTTAACTTAATGATTTCTCAATAAGATTTGAATTTCTTCAAATTAATAAAGGCAAAATGCTAACAAGCAAGGGAATGGAACCAAGACCTGAGATCCCATCCTTCAGAGTCTGGGGAAGGCATCTAAGTTCCCAGGGCCAGAGGCCCTGAGAGTGGGTCAAGGACACAGTAAGGCTGACAAGGGAGCACATCCATGAACCCGGTGACCCGCCTGGTTCTCGCCCTGATTCAAGGCTAAAAGCCCATTAACCAGGACTGGAGAGCTCAAGACTCAGCTCAGGCTCAGGCCACTTTGAACAAATCATTTTCCCTCTCCTCCTGCCCTCACTAAATGAGATTGGCTGGTTTGTTAGGAAGGATTTAATTTTGAGGCTGGAGGGAAGGAGGCTGTAGCCCATAAGGACACAGATTCTGTGGATGGCGGTGAGGGCCACAACACTCTTCTCCAATTGAAACTGTCTCATGGACACTCCTCTCTCTGTCTGCTCCTTCTCTGACATTTTCCCTCCATCCCCCATCATCCTATCAAACTACCATGGTGCCTCTGCCCTGTCTTTGTCTTTAGGCCATCGATGTCTCTCTCATGGGTCTTTCTGGCCAGGCGGTTCCTGTTAGTGTCCCCTCTCTGGCTCAGCACTCTCAGGCTTCTGAATCCTTCTCCTGTGAACTGTCTCCACAAGCAGCCTAGGCAGGAAGGGTCACTCCATCACTAGCACCTCCTGTCCCTCCACAACCCATCAAACCCCACCCCAATATCTGACTTAGATGGATTGCCTGCCACTCTCTGATCATCCACAAGGTTCTTCTGGCTGTTCTCAGCCAGCAGCCCTGGTTGGCTGCTCCAGGTATAACATCTGCCTTACCTGTGCCAAGTTACATGCACCTCCCTCCCCTGAACCTGATGGAGGTGACGGCTCCATCACAAGAGACACCCTGGGATTCTGAAGTAGAGTGACCAACTCCTCCCAGTTTGCCCAGTACTTACCCAGTTTTAAAACTAAAAGCCTCAGATCCTAAAAATCTATTCAGTCCTGGGGTAAACTGGAATAGTTTCAACAAGATCCATTCATTCTCTTGTTAGCCACCCCACAAGATAACTAGATTTGGACTCTAAGAACCAGCTTCCAGCCCCAACTCTGCTCCATACTAACTGTAATCATTAACAACACATGTCTCCCTCTCCGTGAACTAAAAGATGGTGATCCCTTCCCTGCCCACCTTTCAGATGATGGATGTGAAATGCTTAGTGAACACTAAAACACTGGACAGATGTAGAGGGGGTTTTATTACCCAGTGTTTATGACCTAGAGGCCAGAATATTAGCAATTTCAATTAATCAAATAAATGGAAAAATGAATTGGTTTTATGAAAACAGATTTCCGAACTTTGCCAAGAGTTCAAGGCGGGGGCACAGGAAAGAAAACAATCCAAAGGGCCTGTAGCTCTGGCTGCAATAAACCCAAGCAGAGGCTTGGGCATCCCCACCCTCAGCTCCAAGAGCCCAGAACATGTCTGCCTGGGACCTACACGCTCAGCTCCAGGATGAAGTCTCATCAAGATCCTTTCTCAGCCACAGAGAAATCAAATGCAGTTTATTCTTCATTGCCCATGCTGTGATTGAATAAGATGATACCGTGGCAGCTGAGCATCATTTACCTGGGGCTTCAAAAGCTGCTTGAGTGCTCACCCTTGAACATTGGTATATTTGGTGCTGTGGGCTGTGAAATAATCTGGGCATGTTCTGACATGCCCTAAGACAGTCCCCTCTCCTATAGTTTCTACTATAGAGATTTCCCCCCAAACACTGATGAGAAACACCGGCCTAAACAGGACAGGCATTGTCTTAGAGTTTGGATCCTGATGCTTAGAGTTGAATATGGACACAGCTATAATGGCCGGCTCCGTTCCTCTGTTCTGGAAGGAAGGAAGGTCATGGTTGGGGCATACATTCAAACTGTTTCATAGATAGCACAGTGCCCACTGTGAAGCAACTTCTCTTCTAGGTGGGGAGGCAGGCAGAGAAATGTCCACCCGTAAGCAGTTCTAATCTAAGGCCTTCCAAGTCCGCAGTAAGAAATGGGGCCATTTATGCCGACATGAGCTGAGGCAGGGCAAGTGACAATCTCATCAATAATTAGTGAGCAAGGTTTGCTGGGGACAATTTGTAATGCAGATAATCTGTCCCTGTATAATTAAGAATAGATTGTATCCAGTTCTGGTTTATGGGTTTATGGCATTGAGGCCTTGTGAGTCCAATAAAGAAAAACAACAATAAAACTAATAGCTTCCTCTCCCCCTGCTCAGCTAATCAATGAGAAAAGAAGCTTTGCCTTAGACCAAGCTGCTGCCGGACTGGAACTTTTCAATGAGCCTTTGTGGAAGTCACCAGTGTCCCCACACTCATTGCATCTGGAGGGCCGGGTGAGAGCCAGCCCAACCCCACCCAGCCCCACTCATTTGCAGCATTAGTAACATTGTTTGCTGATGAATTCCACTTCGGAAAGCCAGCAACAGTGAGATCTATGGGGCTTTGCCTAGATTAAAATAACAGTGCACACTGCTTTTTAACATGATAGAGGTTTTTAAAATAAAGAATGTTCTTAATGTTCATCTCTGTATTTTATAAAGGAGAAAATGAAGATTTGGAGTGTGTATGAGGGGGTGGGGTGTGGAGACCAATCAAGTACCTTGTTGGAGAAACAAAAATTGAAATCAGATCATTTTGATTCCATCTGTGAAATAATTGCAAATATGTACTGAATATTTACTATGACAAGCCACTGTTCTAAGAGCTTGATGTACATCCTTTAGTTAATCCTTGTGACAACCCTATGAGGTAGGTACTGTTATTATCCTAACAACTTTGCAGGTGGAAAAATAAAAGCACAGAGAAGTTAGGTAACTTGCCCAAGGGTCACACAGCTAGCAGACCAAACTGAGATTAGACCTCAGACTTCAGACATCAGACTCTTGAGCACTAACCTCTCAGCACCGTTGCCTCTCAGTTGAACACATCCTGGAATCTGCAGCTATTTGGGCAATCATTAATTTTTAGACTGAGCCTGGCTCCTTTGCTTATTCTTTTAACATTTATTCATTGATTCATTCACTTATATTTATTGAGCATTTACTACATATCAGGCTGTAAGGCCTCCAAATGAGTAACACCCAGTTTCCACCCTCCAGGTGCTCACAACTCATTACTGTCTCTCCCCTAAGTGACAGTCTCCTGTTTTGTAGATTACATTCATTTTCAACAGCTGTTGTAACAAATTGGCAAACTCAATGGCTTAAAACTGCATTCATTTATTAGCTCCTAGTTCTGTGGTTCAGAAGTTCAAGTGGTCTTCAGGAAGGAGAATAAGGGTCTGGAGGCAGGGAACTTAGGGACAATTCGTGCTGAATCCAGGAAAAACACCAAGGTGTGGGGGCAAGGAATCTGAGGCCAATTCGTGCTGACTTCCTAAAGCTGAATCAAAAGGATAGCACCTGGGTCTAGGGTCAGGGAAGCTAAGGCCAATTAACACCAACTTCCTAAAGCTAAACCAAAAGGAAAAACCCCACCTCCCCACTCCAGAGTAGCAAAGGAGCAAAGGCTACTCTCCCTACAACCCTCCCCTTCCAGCACGTCTCAGATGGAAAGGGAGAGTGCCTTTGACCGCCGAGGGCCAAGCAGGGACCATCCCTTCATCTGCATAGGGCACCAATTCACTTCAACCTTTAATTAGCCACAGGCCAAATTCTTCATCCAGATAAGCAGTAGCCAATAGGAACCTCAACAGGAGTACTTAAAACCCAGAAAACTTTGCAACTGGACCCTTGAGCTACTTGCTTGGGCCCACTCCCACCCTGTGGAGTCCTTTTTCACTTTAATACCTTCCTGCTTTCCCTACTTCCTTCCTATCTTTCAGTCCTTTGTTACTTTGTGTGTTTTGTCCAATTCTTTGTTCAAAACGCCAAGAAACTGAGTAACTTACACTCGAGGCCCTCCTTCCGGTAACAGCCTTGGGTAGGCTCTTTGTTTAATCTCATAGTGCTGAAGTCAATGTGTTAGCTGGCCTGGGCTCTTCTCAGGAGGCTTTGGGAGAAAATCCGGATCACTCAGGGTGTTGGCAGATTTCAGTTC